TCTCTAGCTAGAATACTTTGTGAGGGTATTTTAAATACAAGGTAATGCTTCTCTCACAATCTCATCCTGACCATGATTTTGGTGGGAGGTTTTTCAAAAGCAGTTGTAGGGAATCTTGGTTTGGGTTTAATATTTTATAGGCTCTGGATATCTGTTTTGTTCTTTTGATGAAATTTTTTTAAATGTAATTCATTTATATATTAATTTGTAGCTTCATATTTTTTGTGAGTATAGTTTTTATGCAATAGCACTAATTGTATGTATCTTTAATGATGTTTTAGCCATTTCATAATAAGGGAAGACATACTACAGGATGCCACATTCAGTACAGAACTTCTAGGATAGTTTCTGGATCAAGTGAAATAAATTTTTTCTTTCCCCAAATTTATCTCCAACACATTCCTATATTGCATATGCATTTAAATTTGTGTTGTATGGCTACAAAAAAACCACCCCTTTTGTTGACTAAAGTTGACATGTGTATGTTTGTGCACTGTTAAGAAATTGCACTGAAGACTTGCATATAAGTTAAATTTGTAACGCAGGACTATATCTTTCATATTTTGCCTACCAGTTTGGATATGCTTTTTAATTAGCTTTCTCCTTCCATTTCCTAAGAATGAGCAAGGCAATCCTAGTGGTATTATGATGGCCATTTAATTGAGTAGCCTTAAATGTTTCATTGAAAATGAGAGTAATTCAGAACTATGCTTATTAACATTGGGAAGCAATGAGAAAAAAAATTATGGTTCTATTTATGGCATTCCCAGGGATATCTGCTTAATTAGAAAACTGAATTCCAAATACCTATAATAGAAAGATAGGAAGTTGTGTGCAAGGAATACAATTGTAAAAAGGCTAGTCGGAGGTGAAAATTTACAATTATACATAATCTGAGGACAAAATTGTAAATAAGCTTAGAAACTCTTTATGAATTATCTCTTCTTGTTTGCCTGTGGTGTAGTTTTTGTGGCTTCAGTCACAATTAGGCTGCAATTTTAAACAAAAACTAGCTCCTTTGGGGAATCTGTCAAACCTACATGTTCAGTCAATGTGGTTGAAATGAAACAGTCAAACAAAACAATTAGAATTGGAGAGGGGAAGATTAGAATTGTAATTGTCGGGAAGAAGGTGGAGCCTCGCTGACGGACCGTAGATCGTGACTCTCTGTGGCTATGGTTCGTGCTCTTTCGTTGGAGAGCCCCGATCATCATGATTAGGGGCTGAAGCTGCCTTGGAGGGGCGGTGGAGCAAGGGGAAGCCGCAAGCCAGGTTGAGGGGAGCCGCATCTCCCCTCCTGGGCTTGGTCTTTTTCCCCCCGAAGACGATTGCAGCGGTGGTTTAAAATGGCCACCCCGAAGAGGAGGACTCAGCTGGATTAAGATTTGTGCAGGAGGGAAGAAAGAGGTGGATAACATCTGAACTGGGACAACTGGGCAATACAACTAAACAAAAGTACCCCGGGATTAAGGTAACATGGAATTTTTAAGAAAAGAAAAGTGAGCGGCGAAATTACAAAGGGACAGGAAAAAAAATAAGAAAATATTTTTGACAGCTAAGCAGGGCTTCAAACCGGGAAAGGAAGAAGCCAGAACTAAAAATTTAACTAAATTGGACTAAAATATTTTGGCAATAAACAGGCATAAAATAAAGCTGGACTTAAGATTGTCAAAAAATCATAATAATAAAGTTTACAAATTGGAGACTGGACTGTGCTGGAATATTGAGGTTTGAAAAACCCTAAATAAAAAAAATAGGGGAAAAAGGTGAAGACTTTGTATAATGGAGAGTGCCACCTTTTGACAAAAACTTGAGCTCAAACAAAAGGGAAAGCATCCTGTTTCTGAATGAATTTGTGTGGATATAACATTAAAGAAATATTGAAACAAAGTAAGAATCTTAGAAAGTGAAAGCAGAACCAGAATAAAGAAAAAAGCAAGGAAAGACTGACTGTGGGATTGATTGATGTTTTTGGTATAGACCCTGGGCTGGAATAACTGAGAACTTTAGAAAATTGAAAGAAGAAAGAAGGAAAGTAAAAGTGGTGGTGGGGTTTTTGGACTTTAATGATCATAAAATATAAGAGTGTGTGTAATGATGATATCTCTTCGGGAATTAAAAATGGAACTTAAAAATATGAGAGAATTACTACAGGAAAGAGGCGAATCACTTTGCTCTGTGTTAGAAAAAATGGAAATGGCGATTGAAGAACAAGAAGAAAGAGCTTCGGAGGAGGAGGAGTCGATTCAAGAAGAAGACATTTTAAATAGACAATTAACACAAATAACACTACAAAGAAGTGGGGAAAGAAGGAAGGTTAAAAAGTTGAGATTTAGGAAGACAATCAAAAGGGGGAATACCTGTGAAGTCGGGAAAGGAAGAAAGACCCAGCAGAAAAGGGGAAAGGGAGATATTAAGAAAGAGAGGGATATAAACTAGAATGAGAAAAGATATGGGGAAAAGAGGGGGAGGAGAAGCAGTAAGAAACAGGTGCATAAAATGAAGAAATACGGAAATAGTAAAATGTGGAAAAGAAATTGTTTTTTCAGAGATAATGGTTGATGAATTAAAAAGGGGATTCTGCAGGGTGACAAGGGGTAATAAGAATATTTCTGCAATTAAAAATATTTAGAAAATAGGGTAATATAGATACTGATAACTTATTAAAAATTAAGGGGAAAATATGCCATGGAATCCAAATGAAAAGATGTAATGATTATTATTGTAACTACTTAAAAATAATGGTTTATTGGGAATCAAGATGAGGGAATAAAGGTATATTTTAATCATTGAGGTGTCACACTCAAAGTAGTAAAAGGGGGGAAACCTGACTAAAGAACCAACTAAATTAATAAGTTAATATAGACTATTAAAAGCAAGGAGAGACATTGGTAACCATTATTATTATTATTATTATTATTATTATTATTATTATTATTATTAT